GGCAGAGGAATTAGACTTAAGAGCAACTAGCTGAATTGAGCTTTTCAGCTTTGGTAAGGCTAAACTTGAAGGCGATCATTTGTCACAGTGATATCTGAACTTCTCTAGTTCTGTAGCTATGATGTTTATTGGAACATGCTAGCTTTGTCGAAAACTTGTGATAGTTCTGCTTGCTTATTCAAAGCAGAAAATACCATGTTTTCTCTAGTTCAAATACTAGATACACTTTAGTGGAAGCTTAGTCTAACACCTTAGTCTAGGTGTTTTCTGAAGAGATTTTTTGCCCTCTAAGATTTGTTCAGTCTGTTAAATCCTAGTTTTTTTAATCATGGATATATGGCATGGTGCTGCCAAATCACTAGTAACTTAAACATTTTTTGCACTGTTTTGCAAGTGCCTTTGTAGAGGTAGAAGTTAAATACGGTTCTGTATTTTGCTAATTACAGAAAAAAGTATGATGAGCTTCAACACGTCGAGGTTAACATAGTACAGACATGATTTTCAGTAATGATGTTGGTGATTAAACTCTTTTCTTTGCATTTAATAGAATTTTTATTGCAGTACCTTTTGGTGTACTCACATTATTCAACTAAATTTATAAATCTATTACTGACATGTTTGAAGAAAATAGTGTATTAATCTGTGTAGTTAAAAGTAATTTTCATATTTTAATTGATGTCTGTGAATTTATTCCTGGTAAATATTTTACAGAACTCAGGTTTGGCTTGTTCCCCACAGATACAGATATCAATAGCGTGAGCTTCCATAGCTTACTACCACAGCCTTACGGTATTCTTCCACCTTTTTTCTTTTCTAAAAACTGCATGCAGTAAAGTAAAACAGTTGTAAACAATAAGACAATGTACAGACAGGGAAATTAATGTTTTATGTCTTTTCTAGTATCTGTTTTGCTTATCATAGTGATAGAATATAAAGGCAAGCAAATAGTAAAGATGAACAAGATCTAAAAATAGGAAAAATATACTTTGAAAATATGTTGATTTTTTCTGAAGTGTACTAGAATTTAAGACCTGTCTCTGTATGAGAGTCGTTTGTAGCAGCTATGTTTTGATTTACACTGAGCCCAAGAGTAACATTTCGTAACAAAATTGTAACTTATTTAATGCCTTATGCTTCAAGTTTTTAGTAGATACATCTGTACTTGCATACTGACTAATATCCAACGTATTATTCAACTTTACTTTTATATTACTTTACCACACAGATATGCTTAAATTTTAAGGTATATTTATTTTTCATTCTAAGCATACAGATATTTGAATCCATACTCATGGTTTGTTAAACTTAACATTTCATGTTACTTAGAAGAAATAAGACATAATTGTGTGTTTTAGTTTTAAAATGCATTCACTGCTTATGTGTTATTAGAATTAGGAATTAGAGGATTCAGACTATCTAGCTGGGCAAACAAGAAAAGCAAGCAGTGGTATAGATAAGGAATGTCCTAGCGTAATTAGGTTAGTAGCATTGAAAAGAAACAGGAGAACTGCTGGTTTATTTTATTTTATTTTTTGTTTTGTGTGTATATGTATTGTTTTTTGTGGATTTTTAAATTTTATTTTATTTTTGTAGTGATATGCTGGTTTGTTTGTTTGTTTTAAAGAATCTAGGACTAATAGAAAGTATAGGGTAGTTAAGAAAACACTCCCCAGGGCATAAAAAATAAGCAGGGAAACTGTGATGCTCTAAGAAGCTCCATTTGTATTTGTTTGTTGTTGTATTTGTGTTTTCTGACCAAGATTGTGTACAATTTTTCCTCTTTGTATCTAAATGCATAATTTTTTATGACCGTGAACTTGTGGTCATGTCCTAGATAATCCAAAGGGATTTTGCACATTACTGGAGAAGAGTTTTCATTTCTCCTTTCCCTGAAGTGTTGTTCTGATCCCCACAGCCTTTTTAAAGGGGTAGTCATTCTCAAAAGTACTCTTTTATCTGCTACAGGGAGGATTTTCTAGATAAACAGTTCGTTTTAAACCAAAGCTGGAGATTTTGTTCAAGCAGATCTGCAGATGTGATGACAGCTGAAGGAATTTAAGTGCTGTAATCATTCACAGAATGCAGCATGCTTTGCAATGCCTTCAGGTTCCAACGGAAGCTGGAGTCCAGCCTTTTAGTGTGAGTAGTTGGACCATACAGTCTTGTCCAGATTGAGGTGCAGGAAATTAGCTTTCCTGTGTTCACTGCGCTGCATAGAAATATAGATAAATCTTAGGGATATTTCCTACAGTGGATTGAACTGCTTTAAGCAATGCCACCTAGTGTGCAAAAGAAAATTATCTTAAATACCTTATTTTCTAAATCAGAAGAACAAACTGTTCTCTATCAGACTGATGTCTTTGCATTGATGTAGCATTTATATGTTCTGTTGAAGTATCCCCGAACTCTGAAATTTGCTAGCAATTGTTGTTTATGCATATGATTTACAATGGGAATTGCTACCCTCCAAACACTGAAAGGAGTTGAAACGGTCGAAATAAATGCAGATGCCAAAATGTTGGTACATGTAAAAGGCAATTATAGTGAATCAAGACACCATCAAAGTCCTCTTAAACTGTAGTTCCTTGGAGATCTAAACCACTGCAGAACTTAAGACCACCACAAAGGTTTTTGTTGCTTGTGGGTTTTTCTCAGGCTTAGTTTTCTTCTCGGTTAAGTCAGCACACAGCATGTGGCAGAGTCCAAGAACTGGTGTCAGCAGAGGGGAAGTGGTGGGAGCAGACAATGAGATGAGGGAGAGAGCAAAGCCTTTCTTTCTTCCCAGAGATGGCCTCTTTTCTGAGAATTGTGGTCTTACTGAAGGAGCAGAGGCACACCCTCAAGCAAAATATTTGAGCAAGTCAAGTCCTAAATTCAAGTTACCACAAACTATTAACAGACAAATAGAAACTTTTTAATAGAGCATCTTAATTTACATTTCCATTGGCTGTTTCATTTGTCTACTTCAAACTTAGGGAGGCTAAAGGCTTTGAGTCTGCTTTGATAGGAAAAACCACTCTTATGCATCAGTAACAAACAGAAACAGTAGTGAGATTTAGATGGATTTACTTTAACTAGATGCATGTTTTTGTGGGTAGATATGTACGTAAATTTCTTTCCCACATTGCTTTTAGCAGTAGTAAACATGCTCCCCCACACATTTAGAGCTGTGAATCTGGTCACATTCTAACTGCTTCCATACACCAGACTACCCATCTGGCAGTGTTGGAGATGTTCTGTTATTGTGGTTAACCTCGTTCACTGTGGACCATAATAGTGTTTCCTTACCTGTCTGTAGTCTGATGTAGTTTTCCAGGTAGGAGCTTTTGGTACGAATACACCACCTGGCTGTCTTCAGAAGGATTTTTAAATAGTCTCTGTGAATATTTCCTACAAATACTCTATAAGTAAGGCTTAGAAAATTTGTACACCCTTCAGATGTATTCTCAGGGACTTGTGTAGTCTAATTATTTGAAAGAAACATCACTGATCTTCTATGCTTAGAGAATTGTCACCAGTGTGGCAATGTTTAATCATTATCTTTAATTATTTGTTTTCGTTATTTCTGCATAATGACACAGTGCATTTCAGTTTTGGTTAGCAGAATCTTGCATAATCTATTTCAAATAATGAACTGTGAACAGTGCAGTAGTTTGTTGTGTGGGTTTTTTTTTTAATTCATAACAAAGCCTTGTAAAAATCTGTATAATCTTAACTCTTGTCTAATTTGGGAATAGACTGACTCTGTGCTACTGCTTTTATATTATGTCCAGCACATCTAATGTCTCTGTATGGCAGAGAAGAAAAAAATACGTTCTTTTTGTTGTAGCATTCCCAATGGATATTTTAACTACAAACATAACAGTCGTGGAAAAATGTTAAACTTTATAACCTTTGTAATTCAAGCCAGGACATCTGTGGTCTGTATTCCTTTAGTTGCTTGTGTAATTTCAGATTTTGAAGAGATTTGCTGGAACAAAAAGTAGGACTACAGCAGTATAACTTAGACTAATTTTTGAAAAGAAGTTCAGCAAACCTGAATATCCTTCAGACTTTGTTTTAATAACTGGGTATCACTCTCTGCAAGAAATGAAGCTCTCCAGCAAGCAAATTCCTTTCTATTTTATGAAACTGATAATAACACATGATTCAGTGAAGTTAGTGAGGATGTGCTCGGTAATAAATTCTTCCAGTCTGGATTATAGTGAAAATTAGTAATCAGCTCTAAATAATTTAGTACATTCAAGAATGCACAGTGTCATGAGGGGGGAGGAAAAAGAAACATTTGAAAAGCGTTGGAGTTGTATAGCCTTTTCTTTCCTGCTGCATTTATAATTGAATTAGAATGTGAGCAAGTGAACACCTTTAATCTGTGGAGTCATAAATCATTTGCCTGCTGTGGGGATTTGCACTGAATTCTGTCATTAATGATTACTCTTGGTAGATAAAATTCAGTATTGTTTGCAGGACTAGATTTTAGTTTTCCAAAAATTTTTAGAAGCCTTTTGAAGCTTTCTATTAGTTTACAGTTATCTTTTTTATCGCTTTTCTTACTCTACAGGTTCCAAGTAGCATCCGTTATTGTGTATTGTGAGACACAGTCCTGGTTTATTTCTAACAATATATTTTCATTAAAATGTTTATTACACTTTATTCAAGAGGATATGATTTTTACTGTTGTTGCATTCAGCAACAAAACAGTTTGTGGTTGTAGAGATAGAACTGCAGTGTTATGGATGGCTGTCAGTAAGGTTCTATTCAGTTACGTTCTGTGACATGGTAGCCAGTAATCTGAGGAGAGTGAGCTAGTCTTTTGTTCTTGAGAGTGCAAGAGTATGTATTTTGGCTTTGGTAGAAGTTAGTATTACATAGAATTTTTGGTGTGAATTGAATCAGTGTTGAAAAAAAAATACCAATAAGATTTTTTGCATTGCTTAGGATTCGTGAATTACTGAATCTAGACCTGTGGAAGTAAATTGAATGTACTTTTTATTTTTCAGAGGCCCAGAAGACACGATAAATGATTGTAAAATCCTTTTTATAGAGGAAATGTACAAGATTGAAAAGCCAGGAGCTTACCCATTGACATTTGGTGATGGAGATTTCAAAAGTATGTGTTTCTTTTTTTTTTTTTTCATTATTTGAACAGGCCTAAAAATAGAGTACTTGAATGATGTTTCTTTACAAATAAGATCTGGAAAGGAAAAGTAATAGTAAACATTTCCATGTGCAGGAAAGCAGCAATGTAATTCTTTTTATATTTCTGTTCTAAAATTGTATTCACTGTAAGGTGTGTTTTAAAATCTTTGTTCTGTGAGTTACAAGCACAGAAATGGAAACATTCCAAACAAGCTGTGTAGAATGAGTTCATAAGTTATTCAGATTACCAGAACTTCTATGACAATTGACATATCATTCAATCTTCTAATAAATCAATAAATGCCAAAGACAGAACTAGTCTGTGATTCTACTCTTTAACTCTGTCATTACATAAGAATTATATATAAATAAATAAATAAATAAATAAATAACAGGCTGTTAGTACTGTGAAAAGAATCAGATATTTAATATTTGAATGGTTATTTGGCCCAACAAAACCTTCTAAAAATAACTGTGCCTTAGTTCCTCATCTTCCCCACAACCAAAGGAAGGAATTGGTAGCATATGTAAAATGCGATGTGACATTTGTCTAAAGTTTAAAAATACATTGTTTCACTGTTCACCATAGTGAGACTGAGACTGATCTCCACCTTTACTAGTAGATGTTTCTGAATTAAAAAATGAAATAGATGCATAATATTTTAGATATAGACTCCAGGTGTTCTGCAGAGCTTTTGTGGGTTGCTATGAATGCACAAGGACTAATCTGCTTACTGCTAATTCGCAGTCATCTGAAGAAACAATTTTTTTTAGAAAGCACATTCCATTTGAAGTGGTATCCTGAAAGTACAAATATTAAAAAAAAAAAAAAAAAAAGTGTTTGTCTTATTAGTAAAATCAAGGGGATTTTGCAGCATCTAAAAACACATATTTATTTTCATTAATTATATCATGACAGATTTTACACGTACTGCTTTACATTAACATATTTACTTAGTTTGCAAGTATAATTATTTATGAAGCTTTTTAAAAGGCATAATTTTTTTTTGTAGTTCTTCTCACACGTATTCTGTTTAATGAATTAATTTTGAATTGTATTTATGTGTTAAGGTAATGAATTATTACTATATTGCTGATTATACAAAATTGGCTAAGTAGGACCATTTCAGTCCTGAGTGGGTATTTATTCATTTTGTATTGTCTATTTCTTGTGCTGACTTTTGTTTTTATTGCTTCAAATTCAAGCTCCTTATTTTCACTTACATCATTGCCCTATTCATTTCTGTTCGTGTGATTCTGTTTTTTGTAGCAAGCTGTCTTGTCATTGCTCACTTATGCACAGTGCAAATCTGTTAAGCTATAAGGCAAACGTAGTACAGTATCTTTGCCTCTCAACTGTATTTCTCTAGTCCAAATTTGTATTTAAAATTTCTGAATATGTTGCATATATCTGCATGCACAGCTACTTTATATGTATGCTATGAAAAGTATACAGAAGTATGGTATAATCTTGTTACAACATCAGGTGAAATTAACTGGCCTTAAATGCTCCATGAGATTGTTGTGAACACAATCAGAAAATGCACTGATTGTATTTTTGCTTATATGAAGCTCCTGTTTGTGTTTTTCCATAAGTTAGAATAACTACTCAGCTGGATAAACAGTGCAGGAGAATTTTTTGTCTGTGGTTATATGTTATTTAGGCTTTGTGCGTGTCAATTAGGAAAAATGTATATGGTGCGTCAATATAAGTTTAGCTGTGGCATTTAAATATAAGGCAGTTACTTTGTAGTTATTGAATGGGAGTCTAAATTCTGCAGTACAGGAAAAACATCATAGCTAAAACCTGTTAGAAAATTAAGAAGTTACATACCTGTTAATGAATGTCAAATATTTCTATGTAAAATGAAATTAAAAGCTGGACATCAGTGTACATTATCTCCATTAGAATCAATATGAGTAGAATAAACGTGGGATAACTCTTCCTGTAAAATAAGAGAATGCAAAATAATATGTGCAACCCCAAGTGTATTATGTGGTAGGGACAAACAGGCCTGTCTCAGTAGGACCAAGAGTATTCAGTGTATTTCAGTGACGAACATGATTAAAGGCAGAAATGTGAGAAATTAAAGTCAGGTAATGAAAATGATGGTTTGAATTTCATATGTATACTGATGAATGTCAAAAAACTTCAGGTACCATTGAACATTGAATAAATATGTCAACCTCTGCTTGCTTATTTATTAATTTATTTTAAGATTATTGCTAATCTTTGGCCTAAGAAACTAGTTTTGTAAAGGAAAACAGTAAATTTCATAAGCCTAGACAACCCATGGTACTAAGTTACAGGTAAAAAAGTTTATTTTTGTCTGCTATTTATCAGATGAGGCAGTGTTTCTATAGGGAGAGCTCAGTCAAAGAGCCAGTGCTGGTGGCCTTACAGATTTGCTCATCATGTTTCCATGGTATCTCACTAGGTGTTCTATTTGTAGCTAGTAATTTTTCATTTTCAGTCATTCTTTCAAGTTTTTCAACTTTTCTATTTTTTTCTCTTAAAAATTGCGGGTAGCTGTGCTCCTTCCACTTGTGAAAAGCATTGCTCAAGATCATCCAGAAGGACTGTTGACATAAAACAATATCTAGCATTCCAGTCCCCCTTTCTGATAAGACGTTCAGTCTAGAGCTTCTCTCCGCAGAATTTTTACGCTGATGTCTTATTCATGTTGACTACATTTTCTGTTATGTCTATTATGCTGTGAGGTCAAATTTTTCCTAAGTAAGAAGTGAACGTATTTCCATGAACCCTCAGTTATTTCTTTTGTTCTCCGTACATTTAGAAAAAATGTAAAAGTATCCAGAACTCTTCTGGTAAATTAACCACCTTTCTTTCTATTCAGGAATCATCTCTTAAAAGAAGCATTTATGTTGATGGCTTATGTTATATAAGCAAGCTAACTTACAGTGAAGTGATAAGCTTTCCAGCTTCTAAATGTATCAACTTAAACAATATCTCATGGTGAAGAAAAATAAGAAATAAAGATAAGACAAGATGAAAACTTGTACTTGAACCCTGTTGTCTTGTATGAGTCAAAGACCTCTGGGGGGAGATACCCATGGAGTTTGAAAATTCTAGTCTCCTATAAAGTGTGTCAGAAAGGCAGAAGTGCTTTAGAATGAAAGAAATCCTGTTTTGCTAAGGATTAAATCTTTTATGAAAAAGGCAGTGCTTTCTTAAATATTACGATTTTTCATTTGTACCCTCTCTATTTGTGTAATATTCTTAGACCTTCTCGTTAGATTTCTTCTGAATGTATTTGCTTGTGACCATGGCCATATTCACTAAGGCTTGTTCCAGAAAGTAGCGGTTTTTGTATGACTAATGGCTTTGGGCTATTTTTGGCCAAGATTATGATATGGATAATTTTGTCTGTCCTTATCATGTGCTCTTCTTGGCAAGTTGCCATTCTGAGTAGATGTTATCAAACAATTTGGAAGTTTCTCAGATAGTTCGCCTGAGAAAATTTATCTTAAGTGTTGGTATTCCAGCTGTTTCAGCTTCTGAACTACTGTAACTCAGGTTAATTTTTTCTTCCGGAATTGTATACGAAAGAATATTTGCTATTCCCTATTCCCCTTTCTAAGTTTGCATTGAGGTTTTCCGGTTAGATTACAGTAAGAGAGTACATGTTAAAGTACTCTTGCAAACTGAAGGCCATTATCAGTAGTTAAAATGTAAAATAACACTTTTTGGGTTTTTTTTGAAAGAAAAATCTGTTCTTCCTACTTTACAGCATTTCTGACAATCTGCAGCTACCTCAAAGCTTCAGATGAACAGTCTGTCTGTTCAAGAGGATAAAATTATAGTATGTTGTATTAGGGCCAGAAGGCCAGAAGTTCAAGTTGTAGACTTTACAAAATGGGTGAAGAAAGTTAGGTAGTAGCCCTTTTAAATTTTAAATATTCTAAACTTTCAGAAAAGGATCTCTGAATTATTTCAGTTGTCTAGATTCCTACTGCAAGATCTGAACTCGCATGTAGGTTTCTGGTCTTTCTTTCCTCCTGATTCAAAAGCACTTGCTTCTTTCAGATAAGAAAGTATTTCCAGGCCAGCTTGGATGTACTCAATCATTGTACTGGGCTAGTTTAAGCTCAGATTCACTTCCATGGCATTTCTAGATGATTTTCACACATATCATATACATGAGCATGTAAGGACTTGATTATCCTTGTGGTTCCCTTCCAATGCAGGATATTTTATGATCCTATGATTATTTTTTTTTCTTTTAATGAAGGATTGCTTCAGCAGTGATCAAGTTCTCTTATGGATTCTTCTCTCATTTTTCTGGACTTCCCATTTTTTTCAATTTTTTTTTTTGTAAATCTTGTAAATTCTCCTGTATGTATTCAGTATTTCTTCTCTGTACTCTTTCACATCTGTTTTAGGCTACTAAATGCTCTTCTATTCTATAAAAGCATTTTTTCCATCTTTTGGAAAATCAGTGCTGATGTTTGGGATTTTTTTATGTGAGCTCTTGAGTCCAAATTTCCAAGTGAGCTGAAACTGAATGTTAGTGGTTCTGTGTGTGTAAACTAAACTGTTATTGTGAACAACTGATGATTTTGGGGTGCTTGTGAACTTAGACAGTTGATTCTTCTGTGCAATTCTAAACTTAGTTTTAAGGGGGAAACATCTGTTCTAGATTGTCATTTTTTTCTTTATTTGGTTGTTACCAATTACCTAGTTGCAGATTCTTCATAGCTATATTTAAGAATCCTCCAACTAAAGGTTGTGCAGGGTTTTATCTGAAGGGAGAGTATGCAGATGGCATCTTGAGGGTGCTGAGGCACAATGGGCTAGTGGGGAGAGAAAAAAAAGAGAAGCCCTTTGGGCACTGTCAGTGCTGCTTGTTTATATGAAGAAGACATCCCTTTAGCCTGGACAGTCAAATAAAAGTAACAGTGTGGAAAGAATCCATTTTCAAGAGGGTGGTGTTTGAGAGCAGAAAGAATTGTTTCCTATTGCTACAGTAATACAGTTATCTAGGATACATGGCATTTGACTTTTTCTTTGTTTTTGACAGGAAAAAGTGGCCCTGAGTGCAAGCACTGTAGGGCTGATCCAGATAAGGAATGCCGGTTTTGTTCGTGTTATTTGTGTGGTGGAAAACAGGATGCTCACATGCAACTCCTGTGTGATGAATGTAATATGGCTTATCATATATACTGCCTGAACCCTCCCTTAAGCAAGATACCAGAAGATGAGGACTGGTAAATATACAAGGATGATTTACTTATCTATATTACCATTCTGCACAAGGTACCTCTTTGTTATTTGCACCTCATGAGGGACAGAACTGAAAAATATTTATAATTTTTTTCATCTATTTACTTAATATAAATACATTATGTTTTCTGTCAAGATATTTTTTTAAAAATCATTCATAAAGGATTAGTAGTAAGCTTTAATTGTCATTACTGGGTTTAAAAAACTGATGTTAATTTTATTCGTTTTGATCATTATTATATTGTCTGACCTGACTGTATTTATCTGCAGTGGTTATTCCCTTGTCTTTTAATGTTGTTCAGACTTCTTGAACAACTCAGTTTCCTCATCCTTCTCTTTCCCTTCATTCTCTGATGCTGTTACTGGCCCTGTGCTGTGATGTTCCTCTATCTTCTGATTGTGTCTACCCCATTCCTTTCTTCTGCTGTAGGAGTTCCACCAGCTTACCATTCTTCATTTCTACTGTCGCTGGCTCAGTCAGCAGGAAAACTAAGCTAACTCACATTGTCAAGTCAAGATATTTGTATTTTGAAGTTAGTCTGCACGGAGCCAGTAGCAGCCCATTACGTTATCTTGGGCTGTGCCGTTTTTTGTCTTTATTAGCTATATACAATTTACACTATTCATATTTTTAACCTGTCTGTGGCTTAAATGAGATGCTAATCCTTTATAAATGACTATTAAATAGAACTCTATTCTAATAAAGTTTTCCATTATGTAGACATCATTAAATGTCCAAGGTGTCAACAGGTAACATTTTATGGAATGTTTTCGGGCCTTGTGATTAATCTTTGAGGAACTGTACACTTCACCTAAAAAGTCCATTAAGTGGTGTGGAAGTTTCAACGTTCTCTGGAAATAAATATCTCAGTTTATTATACTGTAGTGGATGCCACGTTCAAAGTAGGTTTGTGTATTGGTGTCTAATGCTGTGCCTGTTTTCTATGGCGCTGCATTTTTAAGGAGCTACTTCAGTGTTTATGCTGATGTGTGATTAAGCAATTGAGAGCACTAATACTGACAGGTGTTTATTAGTGTGTACATTTGGCCTCACAGATATTATTGTACCTTTTTCCTATGAAATTGCTTCATTGAGAAGAATTGTATTCACTGTTTCTTGGAAGAATTGCTGGCTTGAAACAGTATCTAAAAATATTTTCAATACCTGTGGAAATAGGTATGGGTTGTTGGAACTAAAAATAGCATTTATTTCAGTATTGCCTGTGTACTTTCCACTTCTTTCATATGCAAAATGACAGTATGCTTATGCAGCAATGTTTATTATGCAGCATATTAATCCTAAGCATTTCCAAGATTAGGGCAGATTGCTCTTCTGTACGTGACATATCCTTCCTTCCTACTAATTGCCAGCATTAATGAATTGATGTCATGTACTGGAAACTTTTCTCAACACGCAAGTGGTTTTTTTATTATTCATTTACTGCAGTCCTTAAACACTATTCTTACCTAATAATGCTCAACTTTTGGGCATATCAGCTGAGAAGTTCCTATTTGATTTCATTCATAATGTTTGGTCCATATGTTCTTCCGCTCTTATCCAGTACTACATTAATATTTAGTCATGATGAAGTTTTTGATTAAAAAAAAATAAAATATATATATATATATTAAAGAAAAAAAAATATATATATATGCTTCAAATATATATGATCCCCTCCCACAAAACCCCCAAATCATTCGTTTTACTCTTAAAAGAATTTATTCTCACCAGTTTCTCCTGCATCTTCAAATGAACAGTGCATTTACTAATTGGTTTACTTGCTGAAATATCACCAGCCACTGGTGTCTCTTTCTAGAGTGCTAAGATTCTCTTGGCCAGCTGAGTGCCAAATGATTGTTCTTAATTAGTTAACTGCTCTGACATTTCACTGGCCCCCATTCTTTTTCAGAAGCTTTTTATGAGATGTTCTTAGGAGTTACCCTAAGTTTTTTTGTCTGCTTTGAACAATATGAACCTTAAGATTTATTTACGTAACTAAATTGCCACATCTGTGAATTAAATCATTGGGTGGAAGTGGTACTGTTAAGATGATGTCTCTTTTATTGTTAATTTTGAGATATTTAGTGATACCAGGCCTCTGCAGTCTTAATGATTGTTTCAGTAGAAGCTGTGCAGTTACACTTGGTAAAACGGTGCCTCCTATGAAAGAGGATGTCTGTGTCCTCACAACTTCTTGGAATCATAGAATGACTTGGGTTGGAAGGGACCTTAAAGATTGTCTATATTCTTTTATACTAGCAAAGGGTGATGGCTTGTGATTCTTAACTTCATGCTTAATCTAGTTTACTTTACAAGTGGAAAAATTTGGCAAACTACCTGTAGGCTATTAGGTCTGCACTTTGGAAAATGATTATAAGATTCTTTTTCAGAGAGGAGGCTATTAGTTTAGCACTGATGCTATACACTATTTAATATTCCAAACAAACCTCAATTAAAAAGTGTGAAGGTAGTATGGTTATCCTATCATGTAGCAGAGAGTGTCGTTGTTAACCTTGTGAACTTACATTATCACACTTAATGACACAGAGTTGTTTGAGTTGGAAGGGACTCCTGAAGGTCATCTGTTCCAACTCCCTGCAGTGAACAGAGACATCTACAGGTAGATCAGGTTGCTCTGAGCCCCAAATAGCCTAACCTTGAGTGCCTCCATGAACAGGGCACCTGCTGCCTCTTTGGGCAACCTTGCTCCACAACCCTTATTGTAAAAAAATTTCTCTTTATGTCCAGTTTAAATCTTCTGTCTTCTAGCTTGAAACAATTTCCCTTTGTCCTGTCACAACAGACTCTGCAAAAGAGTCTTTCCCTTCTTTCCTACAGCTCCCCTTTAGATACTGAAATGCCATTATCAGGTTTCCACAGAGCTTTCTCTTTTCCAGGCTAAACAAGCCCCAGCTCTCTCAGCCTTTGCAGGGGAGATATTCCTTCTTTGAAAGTGGCTACTGCATGCTTTTTTTCAAACAACTACAATATCATTCAGGGCTTTAGCGAGAGAGAAATTCAGCATCTTGTATTATTTTTCTTTCTTTTTATCAATGTAGTTTTGTTATCTAAATGGTTCAACACTTTTAATAGTGAAGGCTGTTCCTGTGGATGTTGATCATTAATTCTCCTGTTCATAACCAAATGCAAAAGTTCATTAATAAATTCAAAACAATGGTAGCAGTAGTAATAGTAGCTGTAATGATGGTAGTAGTGGTAGTCATCTAAAGTAAGTTATCAATGCTGTTAAAGTCAGGTTTCTTCCGCTAAGGCATATGTGCCAGACTTAGCCTATAGCAGCTGGAAACATGGATAGTCACCTTTGCACTGGCATTCTTGGAATGGGATGAAAATGTTATTAGAAACAGTAACAGAACCAGAGTACTGCTTTTCTCTCTCTGCTGAAGTCACTACATACTGCTATCTCCTTCTTTCCTACCAGGTTGGCTTTGTGTTAGTTGGAATGAGTTCCAGTGCTTTATTTCAAGTGCCTTAGGCATTGTGGGGTAGGATTGAGTGTGTGTGTGTGTGTGTATCCGTGTGTGTGTGTCTGTCTGTCTACACATTTCAGGGTTTCTTGGCTCTGTTTCACATTTAGCTATCTATAATGAAATGTAGGGCAGTAGAAGCAGAAAATAAGGGTAGAGTGGGCAGGACATACAGACAAACCATAACCACTGGTCAGCAGCATAGTTTAATTGTGCCTATCTTCTTTATATGGTCTGAACAAGAGAGGACAGAATGAAGAGAGAATACAGGAAACGTGGGACATCTCACGCATCATGAGAAAGAGTAGAGAAATTATTGCCTTTAACACTCTACCTTCAAAAATATTGAAATGCCCTATTTTAAATTTGACAGTGTTTGTTCATGTTGGGTTCTTTTTTTTCACTGCAGGCTTTAGCTGCTTGAGAGTGGTATTTATTTGCTAGTTTGAAATATTCAGACAAGATAAACCGATTGACACTATTTTGGCTACAGGAAATGTATTGCCATTATTATGAAGTAATTGAGAATTTACTAAAACCGTTTTTTTAGGTATTGTCCTTCCTGCAAAAATGATTCTAATGAAGTTGTAAAGGCTGGAGAAAAGCTCAAACAGAGTAAAAAGAAAGCAAAGATGCCATCTGCCAGTACTGAAAGCCAGAGAGACTGGGGCAAGGTAGAGTGTATTTTAGAAATAGCTATTACTCTAATTGTTCATGTATGTGCTACATCTGTAATTATATATGCACTACACAAAATTCAGTACTGGGTTGCACAGACGATAAGACAATGTTGAATCCTGCCCACTATCAGCTGAAGAGGTGGAAGAATTATTAAGTTGACTAGAGGTAAAAGCAAAAAGAACAACTCCCAATCCCCCCCAAAAACTGTAAGAACACATTACTTAAAATATTCCTTTTAACAATTCTTAATGCATTTTAATGTATGTCTTTATTGATCAGATTTCCTGACATCTGCCTCTCATTTTGCAACTAAGTTTCAATATTATAATGCTAATTCATTCTGTTGGATGTGTTTTTAGGGCATGGCCTGTGTTGGTCGCACTAAGGAATGCACTATTGTTCCTTCAAATCATTATGGGCCCATACCTGGTGTTCCTGTTGGGACAACTTGGAAGTTCAGAGTTCAGGTATGTTGTTTCAGTGTAGCTGAATTAAGAATAATAATATATGAGTTTGACCTTAACAGAAGTTTAAATTGATAACCAGGACAAAATAAAGCAAATATATTACAATACTGGAAGTGATGACAATTGTAGTGTAATAGAAGCATACTGATTTTACAATACAGCTAACAAGTAGTCTTTTAAAATATCTGAATCCTGTTTTAATTAGGATAGATTAATTATACCTGTTAAAACTCCAAGTAGAACACTTAGTGAACTGTCATCCCACTTTGGAGATTTAGGCTGTGGATTTAAAAAATAGTAGAAGTTATAACTGTAAATAGACTCTGATTTGTGGTTCTTTTTGTTGTTGTTCAGACATAACTAATGTTCAACTCTTTATTTAAGTGGGTGAACATCTTAAACCAACATAAGTCTGTACTGCTAGATAATTATCTGATCAATCAGAATTAGCTACTTCTTGCATACTCGTTTTCTGTTGCAAGTATTTCTTACGGTTTATGGTAAACTAGATAGGTAAAAAATCTGGCTGAAAAATAATGTCACCTGGACTGAAAGGGCAGTTAATTTTCCCAGTCCATTTCACATGCTGGTTATAGAACTACTGAGGCAATACACAGAGGGACTGAATGTTTATCAGTATGGTGATAGGCACTTTATTTGTATACATACAAATAAATATAAATACATACATGTATATGTGTGAAGTGTTCTTTATATAAAAAAGGGTGGAACAATCAACAACTTTTTTTTTTTTTTTTTTTTTTTTTGCCAGTGCTAGTTTTTGTGGTTTTGAGATGTCCAGGAACCTACAGACTTTACCATAGTCTTATCTGATATCTCCAGTTTTTGATTTATTTTTGATTTTTCGCTAATTTGGTCAGGAAATGGATAGCTCTTCGTTTTCAAAATCAGTTAATTCTATGTCTCTTATGTGTGTTGTGGATGGTAACTGAGTGTTTTCCATATAATCTGGAAGAATAGGAAGGTGGGTTTTTTTCTGTATTTAAGGAGGAGCATGACAAGCTTCTCCTAATTTGTTTTCTAAATCTTTCATTGCCTGCTTTCTCATGAGAAGAAGAGAAATGTTTTATTATTAAACTGTTAGAAGAAAACACTTAACAGAGTTTTTTTCCAGTTGAGATGTCTTCATACTGTCTGAAGAATTCAGAATTTGGGAGGTTGTGCAAGTTTTAAGGCTGAAAAGGTTTGCAGCACGTATTTTCCACATGGCAACAGTTTTTAGTTTCTTTTCTTTATAGAAAGCAGAATGATGAAGTTGAAAACTAAACTAATTGATTCTTTCTCACCTTAATGTGAATGCTACCATCAATACAAAGATTATTGTTAATTAATCTTGTGCTGTAAAATTATTCTGCTCATTATCCCAGTGATTTTAACAGACAAGTAATTGATTAAGAGTTAAATGCCATATGCCATTTTCATTCTTTGGGATATTTTGTTGGCCTCTCTGTGTTTGAAGGTTTGTTTGTTTGTTTGTTTGTTTCGTTAGTGAAAGGAATTAAAGGAGTTATATTTTTACTACTTTCCAGATTAAGTATGGTTTCATAAATAAGAGAGGTTTCTAAAATCAGGTAACAAGAAGCTTCTAAAGTCCACTATGCAAACTGAAAATCTCAAAACCAAGTTTTTTCACTGCTTGAGCAGTAATTAAAGTTTTGAGTTCGTATTTCTGTTAGAAGTTCCACTGATTGTTAGAAGTTCCACAAAAGTGGATTGTTTTCAGATTCTAGTGCTTGTAGGAAAAAGGAACAGAATTATATAACTGCCTTTGTCAGAAACTTGAGCAAAGTATGATGATTTTGTGTATATATGTGGATGTGTAACAGACAGCAAAAAGCAATTACCACTTATACATAATCATTTTAATTTTTTAATTTTTACCATTTTATGTAATCTAAAAAATAAAGGATTGAAATGTTTTCTACGTAGGCATTTAAATTGCACTTGTATATTTCTCATATGACCAGTACTCTTTATGAGAAATAGGTTTGTCTCCGCAAATCTATGAGAATTTAGAGTCTGTAGTTTCTTTATTTTTATTTGCTTAGTTTTTCATGACACAAACTCTCTTTTCCCTAGAAGGAATTTGACTAAGTATTGCCTCGGGAGAGAGCATCTGAAGAGCATCTTTGGCATGAATTACTTACCAGAATTCATCTTTGGGGTGAATCACCTACCAGAAACCTAGATTTAATTTAATAAATCCTGGAAATGAAAGAAGGGAGGGAGGAATGAATGAAAGGATGTTTGATGCAACAGGAAAAGGGATCGCGATAGTGAGGCTTTTTTAATCAGCATGCATGTAAATAATCTGGAAAAATTGTCAAATAACTGATAAAGTTAGGTGAGAGTGATAAGTTGTCATGCATAGTAAGCAGGGGGTGGGGAACAGTTTTAACTTCATATGAATTGTACTGGGCTTTCAGCTATTTTCATCATTATTATTTAGGAAAAAGATCTTCTAATAGCTAGTCTTGAAAATATGCCGTCTTAATGCCCAGTAGTGATGATTTAAAAAAAAAAAAAAAAAGTAAATCAAGAATTTAAATATGATGAAAGGAAGGACTAGGAAAAACAGCAGATACTATAATCAACAGCAATCAGAACTATTAAAGGAATGGCATAGTTTAAAATCAACTGAAAGACTTTTCATATGTGAAGTTAGCTAAAAAAATGCAATGGAGATGAAGTTTGTAAAATGAAGTAGTACAGTATAAAAGGCATAATTATGGAACAATAAACATACATCCATAATACAGAAGAGGGTTCATCAGAGCAAAAAAGATCAGCTAGTTGAAGTTCATAAAACAAGCAGTACTCTTCTCTCTTAGGTACTATGGATTAGAGAATTTTTAAGTACTTTAGGAAGTCAGAGCCACAGACAGCTAGATGCTGAGAAACTGTGCAAGGGAGTATCATTGTATCCGTGCATATTTTTCATACTGTGCACAGCTGCCTTCTCTTATCTGTTGTTAGAAACAGCATTTTTTGCCATCTGGACATTTTATCTGATGTGTTGTAGTATGATAAATGTGCAAGACTGCACCAAAAGAATGTAAACTCTTAAAGAAGTTACTTAAGTATATTGAACGGCCAAAAAGGTTACAGGATTGAGAGGGGTGGAATCAGAAACAGATGAAGCCTAGATTTAAAGGAATGTGGAGAGATACGAAGGAGGATCCTAATTGCTTTTCTACTGGGGGGTCTTACTTCTATTAATTTTAAATTTGCATCATGTACTAAGAAAACATGTAATTTAACATGATACCCCCTTCTTAATTCACAAAGAGTTTTTAAAATTTAATTTGAAAATAGCAAAGAGATGGTTAATACATAAATTTCTGTGGTAAGTGTATCCCAGCAGGCTTTACTGATGTTGAAGGTTTATGTTACAACAGGAGCTCTCAGATGGTCTGGTTGCAGCTTAGTTGCATACTCATAACTTGGGAGTAATCCTGGTTGGATATAAGCTATACTTGATTGCAATGACTTCTTCTCTTTCATTAGGCTGTGTGATAGTATTCCTGAGTTGGTCACAAATTAGTAAGTAGCATATTACTTCAGTGGTACCTGACACAGTGATCTTTACACAGGTCACTGTGACCTTCCATAATTAACAGATACATAATGTTACCAAACTGGCAGATCTCCATCTTTGTTGAATTTTTCTAAACGACTGTGCAAATGGACTGTAACTGTAAGTCCAATCTTAAATACTGCTTGGAAAGAATAATGGAAGATTTTCCCAGAGAAGAAAGTATATATTTTCAGCTTCCAATGTCACTACTGCTGTATGTTGTCCTTCCATTTTTTAGGTGACTTTACTTTTGGCTTTTCTTCATTAAAAACAAATGAAATTCTCACCTTTAATGGCAGTTTTATATTAACTGTTTACACAGTTACCCCTATACAATTTTTTAAGCTGAAAGATCATTGTTAAAAGTGACTGTAGATGACTGATTAGTTGGATAAAAATGTTAGAAACTGCTGTTCTTCTGTTACCAGGTGAGCGAAGCAGGTGTTCACAGACCACATGTGGGTGGAATTCATGGACGCAGTAATGATGGAGCTTATTCACTTGTATTAGCTGGAGGGTTTGAAGATGAAGTGGTATGTCGTTTGTTAAGCAATAATTTTGCTGTTCTAATACACTAATGTTTGCAAAGATAGAGGATTATGAACCTTCCTGCTTATACAGATATGACTGTGAGAAGAATAACCTCTGGTAACAAATCAAAAGTTCTCAGTGTTTTGAGGAGAAACATACATATTTATTAGGGAATGCTTATGTGTATGTGTATTCTTAAGCAAAAAAATTAAGCCAAATTTTACGTCACATAGAGTAGTTAAATTTCAGTATGCTTTCAGGGTCTGAATTTGGTATTACTTAAAATTTTTAATTAAGCGCAAGTTTTACATTTTACATAGATGTATTACATTTTTTATTGATTTAAGTAAGATAGATGCCTCATTCTTTGGGTTTGTTTACATAATGTGTTTATTTTAATGAAGCAAGAATAAAAAGTTTCTATGAAAGATTCCATGAAGTTTTGAGGGCTCTTGACTCCTACTGGGAGATGCTTTCAGAACTTCTTGGGAAAGCCTCAGTAACTTTTATTATCATCCCAAAGTTGCTGAAAAATTTTCTACTTTGGTGTTACCATCTAAATAGAGCAACAAAAGCAATTGTGTTGCTAAACAAAACAGAAACCGTGTCCAATTTTCTTCTCATTACGTTGACAAACACTTCTTTAAGAATAGATTGCTGTTCTCTGCAACCAAATAATGTTTATAAAAGGTACATCCCTTCCTGCAGATCTCTTCCACAGGTAGGATTTTGAATCATGCATCAGGGGAAGAATAAAACAGTAAGCAATCTGTTGTTTTGACAACATGTGTAACTGGTAGTCACCAGGAGAAAGGCACTGGAGAAAGAAATGAGCATCTGAAATAGCATCAGAATGTAATGTATTTTTTGCCAACAGCACCTACCTTCTGATGCTGCTGCAAGATGTTGTCTCTGAAGATGTCTTTTTGCTAAGCCAGTCACAAGAGGAGGTACTTAGTGTTGGGGTATTTTAATATTTCCTTTGAGTCAACCCCAACCCAAGCTCTAGGACCTTAACTGGTGAATCCCAAGAATATGCTCAGTAACTGTAGCTGCATTCTTGGTATGCTAAAGATATTTATTTACTTCGAGTTGTGTTTGTTTGTTTGTTTTGGTGTTGATACTGATGTTCTCTTATGTCTGCAGCTATCATTATTCAGTTAGTACTGTTTAATAAATTTATTTGGATCTTTTGCATGCCTTTTCCAGTTCAACAAGGTGGTACTGTGTTAATATGGGTTTTATGGACATTTAGATACTGTCTTAGCCTTGGTGACATACATATTTTTCACAAAGAATAGTTGGGTAGAAATATTACAAGTAATACCTAAAAGTGCATATGAATGTCAGGGTTTTTTTGCAGTTTTCTGAACTAAGGTGCAAGGGAAATAATTTTTATTTCCAGGTGCATTTTTGCTCAGTTTTTTTTTCATATCCCAAATTCTAATTTTCAGTTTACTTCCACTTCACCTGTCTCTTGCAAAAAGGTTGAAGTGAAACTCCTACGTGAATATCCAGAGAAAAATAAGACTATAAGAACCATTTTTCCTCCTTTGAGAATTTTAAATGAAAATTTTGATAAAATCTGCTTACTTCTAGCTATTTTATTGTATGTAATGAACGAAAGAGTGGCAGCTCTTATTTGAATTGCAACAATATGACATAGTTAACTTGTGTGTAAATTTTTACAAGATTGAGAAATAAATGCACTTTGAAAAATTGTTTTATTGTAGAGTTATAACCTTTATTTGTGTACTATTTACACAGTCTGCTAATGTGCCATCTTAATTCTCTTCTTGTGGCTTTAAATTAACTATTGTATCTAAAGACCATCAAGACTGACAGAACCTCAAAATAAGTGTGGTATACAGCTTTATTATTTATTTATTCTAAGTATTACCTGGATCGCTTGAATCCAGTGTGAGCTCTCCTGAAGGAGAGAAGTTGTGTCCTAAACAATTTTTTTGTATTATCTTTCCATGCTGTGTTACCAAGGAAACAGTTCCTTGCAGATTTTCTGTCCTCTGTTTTACACCACTGAGAATCCAACACAATAAGTTCATCACAGCCTTTACAGTGAGAATCTATCTGTCAACTGGATTGAATAAAGAGTGAAAACCTCATGTCTGATGCCATGAAACCTGCTGTTTTCAAATGCTGCCTTGTTTTCAGGGCTTTTCAGAGGTTTCAGGGCTTAGCTAGTTTGGTACCAACTTGTAACTCAGATGTAATGTGAGATAATTCAAGTACCTCATTATACAATAGACACCAAATACATTTCTTCTCACTCTTAATTATTATTCATCCACTCTTGCTACCTGGGATACTAAGGATGTTCTTGACGTAATCTGTTGGACAATAGCTTCACCACTCACTTATAAATGACATTTCAAATTTGCACAACAGCTTGTATTCTGTGACAGTCTTCTGTCCACCTCTTCTGTTATTCCATATTGTTAGCTACCAGTCCATACAAGGTGCTAATAGGAAAAAATACATTTCTGGTATCATTTTTTGAATTTCATTGTCCTGTCTGTACCTACATTACATCCAGAATTATTTTCACATTCTGATAAGCCTTAGTTTGTCTATTTTGACTGTTAGAACTATGCCTGTCATAGTAGTCTTACGTATCTATTTGTCTGCTTTCCTAATTGGGTGTAGAACCTTTGTTTGTTCTGCTCCTATCCATGCTTTTCCAAAGTTCATTTGATTGTTTCTAAAACACTGAAGAGTATTTAAAAACATTGAAAAACAATTTTGAAATTAGTGTTTTCTGTAAGAATACCTTAAGTAAAGGACAAAGACCTTATTTCCAAAGAATTCTACAAGAACAGAACTACAGACAGCATTAAATATTAAAAAAAGGGGGGGGGGGACCAGATTGCATTTAACTAAGCATTGGCAATGTTAATTCCCATTTTTTAATCTAGTTTTACATTATGTCACATGGGTTCTGATTATGAACGACTAATTTGCTGAGATTCTTTCTTGCTCTTTTCATGTATTTTCAAGGAAATGTTAGTTATTAATATCATCAGTCTATTCCTTTCATAAAATTTTCAAGGTTTTACTTTTCCATTTTATCAAGCCATGAGTTTCTTGCAGGACTTCATTTTGCATAAAAACTAGTATAAAGTTAATTCTTATGATGTTAATCATTTATTTGAATGCAAGAAATAAAATAAGAATGAGAATAACATTCAAATTCCGTATAGAAACACAACTTGGCCAAATATGTCAATTTGGTTTCCTCAACTTTGCAAAAACTTCTTATTCAGTTCTTAGAATGGGCATATTCATCAAACAAATCCATCTCTATTCTTGTTATCATCTTTGTGTAATCTGCACATTTCTTTTGCCATTATTTATTTAGCAGTCATTGAGAAAAGACCAAACAACTCAATTCTGATCTCTTTTAATGCAGTTTATTTCATGTCCTTGCTTAATAAACACCTCTTGTTTTTTTAGTCTTTCATTCTTCTGAAATTGTTTCATACGCTTTTCTTGTGCAGCAGAATTCTACTTCTAGTTGTTTTGTTTGCTTGTTGTTTTTGTTCGTTTTTGGAGATTCATTGAGCACAGATAAGCAGACTGTTTTAGGAAAGGGTTAACTAGAGTTTATACAATATCTTTGTTAGGTTTAGAGGGTTTTTTTTTTTTTAACTTGTTGATGGCAGAGGCTTTTTTTTTTTGCATCTGTATGAATCTTTGGAATGAAATGATCTAATACTGCATCTGAATTTCTTTTGGATTTTCCCTACACAGATGAGATAATTCCTATAATTAATTTATGGCCTTTTACAACCAACATTTCTATTTCCAATTTTCCTTTTTTCTGCTATTGTCAGCCATTAAATATCTGTAACAGTCTAGCAATGGATCCGTAATGTCAGTCTTTTAATAGTGTTAAGAAATTGCCTGAGTTGTTCAGAAAGTTACTGTAAAAATTCATAGAAACTTTACTTTCCTATGAAGTATTTACCTTATATTATTGATTCACACTTCACACAAAATTTGTGTCTCCATGAGATATCATTTTAAATAATTCATCTTTCTAGAAATTCTTGAATTTTTTCAGGGTGATCTGACTTTCTGTGATATAGTTTCTAAGGAAATTAATAATTTGATTTTAATCATTCTTTTCGTACGTGGCAGAAGATGGCAGGCTGATGAATTTCTCTTGAATTTAAAGAAAATTCCCTGTAGGAATTCTACTACATAACTGCCTCAGCTTAAAATGTGAATCTAAATAATTTTAACCTCTTACCACTTCAGAATAGCTGGAACCATTCATATACTAAAGCATCTAATTTGAATTTAAGTACACATGGCTCTGACTTATTAGAACTCAGTCCCTTGCACTGAGCTGAAGTGATGTCTCCAAGCTATTGATGATGTATTTTGCAAATGCTATATTCTTGTAAACTAAAAGAAGGCTCTACTTAGTGCTACACCACTTGCTAGAATGTGTTATTAAAGAAATATTTTATTTTTAAAAGTAGTTTTTAAAAAAGCTGTAAATATCAATTTTTTCAAGGCAGGCAATTTTTTCTAATGAAGATTTTTGCAAGTATTGTAGGACAGTGATAGTGAAATTGAAAACATATGTTTCCGTATCTTGGACTATATTTTTTGTCTGTCAGAGTAATGAGCAAATGAAGTTACTTTTTATTTATTTTTAATTTATTTATTTGCTTCAATTTGGAGTGTTAAAACCAAGGATAATCTTCTTGCACAGGATCGAGGAGATGAATTCACTTACACTGGGAGTGGAGGTAGAGATCTTTCTGGCAATAAAAGAATTGGAGAGCATTCATTTGATCAGACATTAACACACATGAATAGGTAAGTTTTGCAAATAAAATTAGGAGGTATTGCAAAACCTTTGCTGTAGTGCTTTAATTAGAACAGACTTTCTGTGAAATTTATTTTGTTCTCTGTTGTACATGCTACTTTGTGAAAACAATGGTGCCTCTCGCTGCTAAGGGGTGTTTTATCAAGCATTATATTCTGTTAGTTTCAAGAAACATTTGCATGTGAATGAAGTAGACTGTTTTGTTATTGTTACAGCCATTAGCCATAACTCTGGTTGAAATTGTCCCAACATTTTCTTCAGGAGATCTTGTTTTAAGTTAGAGAAGTTTGTCAGAACTCTTGGGTAGAACTTCGAGATTATTCCAGATGATTCTGTTAGACTGATTTATGAAAATTAAGCGTGAAGAGAGAATGCTCATTTTTCCTTAGTAAAAAAAATATTTCATATTTAGATAGTTTGTACTTCCATTGTAGTATTGCAGAAAAAAATAAGGAGTTAAGCTGCTGTGTTATAAAAAACAATGCTTTAAAAAGAGCATTTGTATCCAAAGAGATTAGTTAGACATCCTCTTAAAGTATTTTTGTGTCCTTTAAAAATACTACATGAGTATAGGTGCATAATGTCCATTAAATAGCTGACCACAGAAACAACTCTGGGGTGCTAGGACTGACTGAGACATTTGTTTGCTAGGCTTCCTTTTTGTTGTGATGTGCTGCTGTCAACCAGAGCAGAGAGGAATTCTTTCTGGCTTTTTGGTGGCATTTAGAGGAGAGAGAGAGAAAGAGAGAGGAAAAGCCAGATTGGATATGAGAAAGGAAGGGAAGGAGGGAAGGAGAGAGAGAGAAGATGAACCACAGCAAGGAAGGAAGGAAGATGGAAGGTTTAAGCAATGAGTTTGCTAGCATTTTCAGTGAAAAGAGCAAAATTCCTTTCAGAAATAGAATTAAAAGCTTGACTTCTTAGCATCAGCATTTCTCTGCTTTCAGCAAATAAAATATACACTTACAAAGCTTTGAGGTTTTGTAGCATTATTTTTCATGCTATGAATGAATATGCATATGCATACACATATGCAGTATAGCAAGGTGCTGCTCTCCACTGCTGATTTCAGTGAAAGTTCTCAGGCACTTTGGTGCACAGGATTGTTGTGATTCCATGTAGTAAGATGAGATTTGTTTTTTGCTTGTCCAGACATTTTTCTTTTCTTTTTTTTTTTTTAAGCTTTGTTTTTATACAAAAAAAAATATTTTTAGAATTTACATTGTGTACCTCTACCTTGCTGTTGTTTACAATATACAGATTTTGGATTTATACCAGTGCTGCTTATTGTTTCTTCTTTTCTGAGATAAGCGGTTTAATTAGATTGTGGCAGCAAAGATACTGCAGCAGTTTGTTCTGGTAGATATTCACTGTTCTGGTACAGGTTTCTAGAAGAGGGTCTTCATATAGAAACACAGAATGCCTAAAGCTGGAAGGGGCCTTAAAGATCATCAGGCTCCAACCCCAGCCATGGGTAGGGCTGCCCCAAACCGCCTCATGCTGCCCAGGACCCCATCTGGCCTTGAACACCTCCAGGGATTGGGCATCAACAACCTCTCTGGGCAGCCTGTGCCAGTGCCTCATTGCCCTCTGAGTAAAGAATTTCCTTCTAACATCTAACCTAAATTTCCCCTCTTCAGTTAAACACTGTTCCTCCATGTCTTATCACTATTAGACTGTGAAAAAATCAGTCTCCCTTCTGTTCATAGGCTCCTTCCAGTACTGGAAGGCCACAATGAGGTCTTCCCTGGGCCTTTTCTTTTCCAGGTTGAACAAGCCCAGAAATACAGATAATGCGTAAAATGATGAAGGATAAAATGCTCATCCTTGAGTTAGCAGCTGTTATTTAACTCCTGCTCTAACCAGTTTATATGCTGTGTGAGGAACTTCAGTTTCACAGAGATTATTGGATAGTTTTGGTGCTTTTTACTATATAGCATTTTTCATTATTTTTATGCATGTGCTTAAAAAGTCTAAAAATCTGCTGTTACTGGGGAATAACGGTAACATTTTCCTTTATTTGTAATTTCTCTTACTTTTCTCAATACTATCCAGGAAAGAGTTATTTTTAAAAATGAAGGATATTAAATATGAAAGGAGGATTTTTTTTTATTGCATTTACATATACAGCCTGAATTTTCATCTTGACCATTGGCAGCAAGATATTTTGTGTTCCTTTTTCTTAATTGTACATGTAACTTATTGCTTCCATCAGTTCTGCAGTTGTTGAAGATTATGCTTTAAAGTTCTGTGCTGCTTGATAAAGCATAAATAAATAGCAGAAATAGATATGATATAATTACTTTATTTCCCAGAAATATTTTTTATGAAGCGATTTGATATATCTGTTTTTAGGGCACTGGCCCTTAACTGCGATGCTCCACTGGATGATAAAAATGGGGCAGAGTCTAAGAACTGGAGAGCTGGTAAGCCAGTGAGAGTGGTACGTAGTTCAAAAGGACGACGGATCAGCAAGTATGCCCCAGAGGAAGGCAACAGATATGATGGCATTTACAAGGTATTTTGATTTCTACAAGGTACAACATAATATTTTTCTAGAGCTATTTTAGAAAATCTTGTATGTTTTACGTTGTAAATTCTTTGTTATTACTTAAAAGAAAGAATTCTTTTAACTCCAAGACAGCATTTTAGCTATAGTTCACTCTGCAAATAAGTGAAATCAGAGTAGTGATAATAGAATGTAATCTGTGATAGGTTATATGAACTTGAATATATAAGCTATACATGCTTTCCAGATGATATTTGGCAATGGAAGTCAGATAATATCCTCACTCCTTTCAATTGTGCTGTAGATTTTTGTATGTTCAGAATCTTCTCAGCATCTGTGTTTATCAAAATCAAAAAGCTTTTGCAGATAGTGGAAGAGCTGCTTTATAATAATGAGTTAGTTTTCTGGTTTTTTTCTTGAATAATTCAAGTGGGAGTATGCGCACACATTTGGCTTGTGGTAAAGTAATAGCAGAAACTCTGTATTTTTCTGTAGGTGGTGAAATATTGGCCAGAAATTGGAAAATGTGGATTTTTAGTTTGGCGCTATCTTCTGAGGAGAGATGATGTTGAGCCTGCACCTTGGACTTCTGAAGGAATGGAGAGGACAAAGAAACTGGGTCTGAGTGTACAGGTTCGAGTCAGGATCGCTCAGGAACTGTTTTGTTTTTTTTTTTCTTCAACTCAAGTAAACAAATTCCAAAAATAGAAGTCAGTTATATTAAATCCCTATTTTTTTCTTGTACTTCACAGTGATAAAATCAGATACCTGCAAAACACAAAAAAAATTATCTAAAGACTGGAAAAATCCTTTTAAACAAACAAAGCAGAAGGAAGTTTTCTGTCGTAGCAGTGAAATACTCTGCATATATATGTGTGTGTGTGTGCATACATATATACATATATATATATATGTATATAAATTAAGAGTTTGAATCCAGTGATAATTTTCCTGGACAGAATTTTTTCAAGTAATTGTTCTTATGGTTGAGTCCATCTGAGAAATCAAAAAATATGTGCATTTGTATGTTTTTCTGTACGTGTAGCTGAGGAGCTTGTAGGGCTATTGTATTTCAGATGCAAAAATAAACTAACCCATAAGGACTTGGGCCTTTTCCACCGTGAAAGGTGGAAAAAATCACTACACTTTTCTTATCAAGGCAATGGTTTATCATATTATGTATCATCATATTCAACTTTGCATTTGGAGAAAACTTTGTGTAGTTCATAGAATCATTGGGGCTGGAAGGGACCTCTGAAGGTCATTGAGTCCGACCCCCATGCTGAAATAGGTTCCATAGTATCGGTTGCACAGGAAATCTTCTGGGCAGGTTTTGAACATCTCCGAAGCGGGAGACTCCATTGCCTCTGGGGAGTTTGTTCCAGTGCTTTGTCACCCTTAAATAAGTTTTTCCTCATGTTTGTATGGAACTTCCTGTTTTCCAGTTTATCCTTGATACTCCTTGTGCTGTTGCTGGTCACCACTGAAAAGAGCCTGGCTCCATCCACTTGACTCGTGCCCTTCAGATATTCATAAGCATGGTTAAAATACCTCCCTCGACCTTCTCTTCTCCAGGCTGAAGTCCCAGGTTGCTCAGCCTTTCCTCACAAGGGAGCTCCAGTCCCCTCAACATCTCTGTGGCCCTCAACTGGACTTTCTCTAGAAGTACCCTGACTGCCTTGAGCTAAAGAGCGTGGGATTGGACACAGTTCTGTTCTGGCCTTGCCAGAGCAGAACAGAGGGGGAGGATAAACTACTTCAGTCTGCTGGCTACACTTTTTAACATACACCATTAGAAGGGCATAGATTTAGATGTCGGTTTCCTTTTAATACAGTTCAGTCTAGATTAGATCTTTTAGCTTGGCTACGTTTTCTGGAAAACAGACACTACTTTAAAACATTTTTCCATCATGCAGGATTTTAAAAATTATTTTTTAATTATTTCAATATGTTGTCATATGGTTTTAGAGTCTTTTAGAAATCAGTCTTGTTCATATTTGGGAATCTGTGTTTGCCAGTGGGTTTTGTTTTAAATCTGTGCTTTTTATTTTAGTATCCAGAAGGTTATTTGGAAGCCATGGCTAGTAAGGAGAAGAAAGATAAGGTTAAAAAGCAAACTGTGAAACAAGAGCCAACCAGCCAGAGTAATGGAAACCAGAAAAGAACAATTGATGATGGTATTTCTTCTTATTTTTTAGCTTTCAGCAGTGGAGTCTGTCATGTTTGTTTATTGAACCAATAGCATGAAAGCTTCTCAGAAGCATGAAGTTATTTGGAATACTAACATAAATTGCAGTGCATATTCTGTAATAAAGTAGCAGCCTAGGATCCTAAGATTTTATTTAGTACTTGTAAGGCTTTTTTTCTTTAAGCTCAGTAGGAAAATGAACTTTGCAGCTCAAAGCAGTGCTGAGCTGAAGTGAATTTGAGTAGGCATTTGATTGACACATTTTATGGGTGTAGTTCATTTATTCCCTTTTAGAATCAGTTTTACCTTCCCCTTTATTAATTTAGACTAACACAAAGATATTACTGTGTTTGATGGTCATCATCTTGAGCAGGTATTGAGGAATCTACAAATACACCTAAAGCCATGAGAATGGGAGATGGAGGGAAAGGAGAAGCTTTTCAGCTGACCCAAGAACAGCAGTGGCTGATTAGAGAAGATTGTATGAACCAGAAACTGTGGGATGAAGTACTTGCTTCTCTGAAGGAAGGACCAGTATGTTTGCTGCATGCTTAAATTTTTTATGTTTTACTTTTTTTTAGAAAAGTGCTAGGAGAAATCTTTAGTCTCTCTTAAGACATAATTTGCTTGTTGAATGGTTGCTGAATACAGATTGCTTCTAGCACTGTTTTTATTTGTAAAGCTTTGATTTGAAGAAAGTATTGTAGATACAGCAGTGTAGTACCAAATCCTTGTAGGGTTTGCTGTTGATGACTAGCTTCGCACCTCCATAATAGAGATCAGAGTTCTTCTTTTCCAAAAAGCATTAGAAGTGCTTTTTTCCTCTTATTATAAAGTTAGAACCTTTTGTTTGTTTTCTATTCAATGTCTGTAATGATTGAAAAGAATTTCAGCCGAAAATTATTCTTAAGCAGTAGAGATGCATGGCTTTAAAAAGGAGAAAATGGTAATTTAAGAGCAGTTGAGTTACTGAAAACTCACTTTTCTACAAATTCATACCTATTGTTTTGGTAAGATTTCCATTTGATTGCCAGTAAAGGCAATAGGAATTACTGCAAACATTGGGTAGCTGCTATGACAGCTTTTTGGTGGAAACCATCAACTGTTTTAATTAAATTTGAATAGAGATGTAGCTAGAATTTTATTCTTACGGGAAGGAGGAAGATGGTTTATGTAGAGGTGTAGTAAATGTGAGCAAAATGCAGATAACAGTACCAGAGGCCATGAAAATACCCTTTATGTATCTTATCAATATACACTTGATGCTTATTGTCTCTGGAAGGTAGTTCAGTGTTGACTGAGTCTTGAAGACTACTCTAGAAGAGCTGCAGTGTAAGCAGTCTCTTTGCAGAGTGAAGCTATGTCTAACCATTTTTTAAATTAAGCTTAGCAACTTACAATAATTCTGTAATCTTTTTACTTACTGGTAAGTGAGTTTGGGAAGGGAATAACAGCAGGGTTACACAAGAGTCCTGTGAGTTAATCCACAGATTACACACATTTTCAGAGGCAAATCAATTTTATTATTTCCTCAGCTTAGATCTAAGAGTTGAATTTCACACGAAAATTCATAAACATTTTATATGTATATAGAATTACCAAAGCTGGGCAATATCGTTTTATATATAACATATATAATTAAAATAAAAATACTTTTGTTTGTGGGTTGTTTGTTTTTTTTTTTTTTGGCATGCCTTTTAATAGTTTGTCTTTTTTATTCCTTTGCCCTACATTAGAATTTTCTGAAGAAACTGGAACAATCCTTTATGTGTGTCTGCTGCCAGGAGCTGGTTTACCAGCCAGTGACAACAGAGTGCCTCCACAACGTCTGTAAAGTAAGAATAAGCTTGGTTGTGCTCTGGGCTGTCTTCTTGGCTCTGAGACTCCAGACACTGGAGCCAAAATGTATTTTAGAAAGATGATAATTATTGCCTAGAATTCTGGGCAGTAACTTGCTGCATGTTTGCTTTCAGTGATTGCTGTGTAATTTTAATTTTATGTAATAAAGAGTGGAAGTGAGCTTAGTATAAACTCAGACACAGTGAGTTGGGTTTAGCATTGCTGTCGTTCCACTGTGATCAGAGGTATGTTAGGAGTTGTTTTAGCCCAGGAGTCAGATGTTGATAGACTAATAATAAAGGAACTTTTTGTAGTTAAGGAATTAACGACAGATCGTAAAAGTGTGTAACAAGTTGTTTAAAGGATGCAGAGTAAATAACAGAAAATTATTTGGGCTAATTAGAAACTACTGTATCACTCTGAATGTGTCTTTAAGGAGTAACTGAGTCTTGTCAGATGAGGTGGATGGAGGCTGTGTCTTAAGCACTACAACCTGTATATACATTCACCTTCAGCTTGGTGGGAATGTCTGGAGTATGGTTGCTGTCTCACAGGGATGCTAGAAAACAGCTGCAGTTGTGGCTCTGATTCACAGCAAGACATTAATGGGAATATCAGCAGGTTGTCTTTTAATCCTTCCGAGGCTCCATGTTTCAGAGTTCTTTTCTTAGATCACTTTAGTCACATAGGCAAAGTTGTGCCCCAAGGGGCTTAGTAATTACTTCTTCTTTTTTCTGGAAGTACAAAAAATTGTGTCTTTAGTATAGTAAATCCTTAGTTTTGGCTGATGAAGCTGTCAGTATAAAAGAAAGTTCCCACAATTCACTCCTCTCTTTTGTCTGTCCTAGAGCTGTTTACAGCGCTCCTTCAGAGCTGAGGTCTTCACCTGCCCTGCCTGCCGCTACGACCTGGGGAAGGGCTACACTATGGTTCATAACAAGATACTGCAGACCCTGTTGGACCAGTTCTTCCCTGGTTACAGTAAAGGACGATGATGTGCTCAGATCCTTCTGAACTCCTCCCAGTGACTTTATAGACAGTTAAGGAGAATAAATGTGGGAAATTCAACAGTGGACCAGCCAGCTTGATGGGACTCAATATGTTGTCACATTTTGAAGCAGCTCACCCTCTTCCCCTCATAGCCATCTTTTTGGTGTAGTGAGATCTCTTAATTCTCGGCTGTCTTTTAACATCAAGGGTAGTTTGGGCCAGTTAATGAATAGTTTTTAAAGAAAAAAATGAAAAGCTTCAGCTCCCACTGGCCTAGCTGATGCTTGATTTATGATTTGTTTTTTTTGTAACTACCTCAGGACAGAGGAAAATAAATTATGGGGATGACAAAAAGTTAGCGAATTTTTAGCTACACACTGCCTCCTGAATAATAGTTGTGCCTGGTCCGTGTGGTTTGATTTACAAAAAAAAAAAAAAAAAAAGAAAGAAAGAAAGAAAAAAAGAAAGAAAAAAACAAAAACAAAACCAAAACAAAACCCCACAAAAACAGCAAAAAACAGAAACAGCACTTAAGCCAGCTGGATTAAAGAACAGCAAATTATGTGGTGTGCATAATCCTTTTTTGTCTTTTTCTTCCATTATGCTGTATTTTTTTGCGAGAACAGGCTGATTTTTAGTCTATTTTTGTGAGCTTCATTGTGCTTTTCTTGTATCTTATGCAAGTTGACTACTAATGACTAATGAGAACAATATGAATGCATTGTTGCTACATTAGTGTAAAGTGATCTGTGTTTTTTGCACTTAAAGAGGGTATTCAAGACACTCTAGTTGTGTAAAAAATATTTCGTATAAAGAACTGCCACTTCTGTATTAGTTAAACTGTATGCTTTTAGTAGGTCTTGTATCAGTGGCAATACATCTACACAGCATTGAAGGCAGTGCTAGCTCGGAGAAGGTTCAAATCGCTTCATATTGTGATCTGAAATTTTATATACAATATATCTCCCCCAAATATACCTTATTAAATATTTTATGATTCAGAAAAAATCGCTAATTTTGTTTTCACTATTATCCTCTCATGTAAATTATATTTTTATAGCAGATTTTTTTTCCAGATTGCTACATATTTTCTTTAGGTGGGTGGCTTTTTTATAAGCTTTATATTCCTTTCATTTATTAGTGATTAAAAAAAAAAAAATGTTAAGAAAAGAACAACGCAACATCTATACTCCTGTACAGCAGCAGCTGTCGTAGAGCTGCTCTGGTCTCTGCTGAGCATCTGTCTGAGGGAAGGCTGGTGCTGGATTGCACTCCATGTGCCAGAGAGCAGGAAAGCCGCTCTGCCCGCAGCCTGGTGCTGTTGAGTGTTGCCCTCTGGTCATTCATAACCAACCACTCACTCAGATGTTGGTGCTGTTTGGCTTTTTCATGGCCAAAAGTCAGTTTAGTGCCCTACTCACGTCATTCCAATGAACTTCTCTCTCCTTAAACTACCCCCATTCTCCTCAGGAGGCCATTAGCATACCAAATGTCTGTAGGATCTCTCATAATGTAACAAAAATCAAGTGCACAGGTGCTGTTGAGCAGTTTGGTTTTTCGGTGCTTATTAGAATGAGGATTTTTTGTTCAGTAGGTGAATTAGTATTAAGCATATGCTTTGTAAGAGCTATAAGCAGTCTTACATCCTGTTGAATTCTGTGTTTTCCAAAGTGGTAGCTCAGCATATTATGGGGAAACAGATGTAATTCAACCTCTTTAAGGACGGTATGCATTTTTGTGATAAGCCAAGATGCTTTTTTTCTGTTCAATAGCTTTTACTAATTGAGGCTTATATGTATAGTAGCTATGTACCATTTGGAGAGAGAAAACTCTTAAAGCTGTGCTTCGGAACACTTGATTTTTAATTCGTGCCCCAGCCTAACATGAATGTTGGTAGCATTTTTAGTATTTAGTATACGAATGGTTGTTTCTAAGTGAGTAGTTCAGATTTGTGTTTCCAAGGCTTATCTTATAAAAACTTATTTTTAATGCAGGAAAATTAGTAAATGTCATCTTCTAGGAAATGTGGTTATTTCTGACTTCTATTAATTACTTCATTGTTATTGAGTTTACTGCTAGTTTACCATCAGCTACAGATTTGTCAGTTTAAAGACAACAGTGGGGATTTCATCAATTGATAGAAATGTGTAAAAAAAAAATTTTAATCTCTCTATCAGACACAGTTAGCAAACACCATCAGACACCATGAAAGTGCCTTTTTACCAAACGTTAAAAGTAGTTTTGGAAGGCTTTGTTGAGTTAGCTTGGTAGGTCAGAATGCCTGTCCCTTCCTCACACTGCAAGTGGTGCTTATGGCAGTGTTTTGGTGTTTCATATCTTTTTATCTCTCCCCCTTCCCCAGTGCTACATCAGTAGCCTGAAGAATACGTTTTCAGTAATAGATTCTACATTAGAAAATTCTAATTTTCTCTCCATAAGTAGATGTATTGGGACCTATGTGCAGATCAACCTGGCCCAACCTTCCTTTAATAGGAAGCCATTCCTCTCATCTGTTGTTCTGTTTTTCTATTTAACTAATTCCACATGAATGTCCTATGGAAAGTAATGTAAAGGTTGCAAAGCCAAAAGAGGAGACCCAGAAGTGCAGTGCTTGAGGTGCTGCTGTAAGCACTATCCTTGTTCGTGTCCTTTCAGAGAGAGCCCCTGGTTATGACTGCCTGTACACCTTCATGAAGAGGTTGTGTAGTTCCTGGTTATAAGATGTAGTGCTTTCTTGAGTGTTACCTGCCTGCTGATTCACCAAATCCTGCTTCACATGGCTGTATGAGTCTGTCACTGCTTGGGAGCCCACTGTGTGTCAAACACAACTCAACCTGCACAGGCCAGCTCCTACATTACTCCAAATCATAGAATCATAGAACAGCTCAAGTTGGAAAAGACCTTCAAGATCAAGTCCAACCACAACCTAACAATACTACCCTGACTCTAACAACACTCTGCTAAATCATCCCTGAGCACCACATCCAAACGGATTTTAAACACATCCAGGGATGGTGAGTCAACCACCTCCCTGGGGAGCCTATTCCAGTGCTTAACAACCCTTTCTGTAAAGAAGTTTTTCCTATTATCCAACCTAAACTTACCCTGGGGCAACTTGAGGCCATTTCCCCTTGTCATGTCACCGGTGAGACCAATCCCACTCTCGTTGCAATCACCTTTCAGATATTGAGAGAGCAGCAATGAGGTCTCCCCTCAGCCTCCTTTTCCTCAGACTAAACAGCCCCAGTTCCTTTAGTCTCTTCTCATAGGGCACATTCTCCAAGCCTTCACAAGCCTTGCTGCTCTTCTTTGGACCTGCTCCAGCACCTCAATGTCCTTTCTGTATTACGGTGCCCAAAACTGAACAGTACTCGAGGTGAGGCCTCACCAGTGCCAAGTAAAGGTGCAGGATTACTTCCCTAGTCCTGCTCATCACGCAATTCCTGATACAAGCCAGGATGCACTTCTTTGGTGTCAAGAGCACTGTCTGTCAGTGTAACTAGGTTTTATAAAAACCTAGGTTTTATAAAATATGGTTTTATAAAATATGACTTGGAACACGTTAGAAGATGACCTTCTTTAACATTTGAGTTCATGCTATTTCACTGAATATGGCATTATGCGTACCCGCAGGACACTGGTCTCAGAGTGCACAATCAGTAGTCTTGGATGGCTAGAGTTCAGGTTTTGAATAATGTTTACACAGGGTGTTGACTTACAAAGCAAAACAAGCTAAGTACACCAAAACCAATATCCAGAACAAGATATTTGAGAAATGATGTAAGGAGAATACTTTGTTAGACAAGATTTAACTCAAACTAAGCACTTACAGTATACTAGAGAAGTTGTCTCATGCTTTCTCAGGAATAAGAGGAAAGGATTAGATGGAACTACAAGGAAGAATTGATGTGATACAGACAGAAGGTAAGTTTGTTATCACTCAGTAAAACTAATCATTGAAAATGACAGATTTCTACACGAAGCCAGCATTTTGCTTCATGTAGAATCTGTTACTGCTGTGGCAGTTCTGACAAATCAGAACTTCAATCTCAGAAGCCTCAGGTCCGTACAAAGCCAGCTTGAGAGTTAAAATTCAAAAGATTATGATACTTAAATTCTGACCAACTTTATTAGAATACTAACATTGGTAGATAAAAAACAGCACAAAATATTAACATTAGCAATGCTACCGGTAGTACATGAAGTAAATTAAACAGTCTACTTCATCTGTTTTTACAAAATATAAACAATTAGTCCTGCGGTTAATGTTTATTACTATAGCTTTACACATCTGCACCTTCTCTAATTTCTGTAACTGTATTTTGTATACCACATCACAAACTGGGAGTTAGCTGTCAAAGCTTTAGCACAAAGCAGAGAAAATGCTGAATCAAGGCAACTTCAACGTCAGCTGCTGTGGAACAAACACGTTTTGTTCACACCTACTATACTGATTGTATTTACATCTTGACTGAGCGGTGATTCAATTAACGAATGTGGTGATTATCTAAAATATACACAGTATATAAATCCCCTATCAGGTCTGGGAGGAAAAGGCCATCCTGATGGACTCAGAAACTCGTGCTGGAAGCAGTGTTATGAAGAAGCTCTCTTCTGCTCAGAGAAGGGAGATTCATAGGCTTCCATTGGTGGGCAGGTACAGACCAGATGTTGGTCTCCATATATGTCATCAATGCGAGCAATCGTGGGCCAAAACTTGCTTTCAGGCTTCACAAAAGGCTAAATGCAGAAATAAAAAAAGACATTATTTTAATTGTTGTGCAAAGCACCTGTGTAAATGTAACAGACACATGAAGTTTCAAGAACAACCAAAATTGGAGTGTGAAGTCAAACATCCAGAGCATTTTCAATCCCATAAAGTCAAGTATGTTTAACAAAAATGGCAGTTAGTTAAAGGAAAATTTAGATTCTCAAAAAAGTGCATCTCTGTCCTCCAACTGCATCTTGCAAAGAAGCAGTCATGAAATAAACAAAAACTGTGATCTCTTGAATTAGTGGCTAATGGGCAGAAGCCAAAGAAAAGTGAGAGAGACTATCACGATCTGCGCTGTTCAATGCAGTAGTAATTTATATTAAATAAAGTAAAATAAATATAATAAGGTGGTAAACTTCCTAAGTGCAGTTAAATTATTATTCTTTGAAACAGTACATGGCAATAATGCAGATGTAAAGTAGGTACAGTTCAGTTTCAGGTGAGAAAAGTTACACACAGTCAACTGGTAAGGTCATGGAAAAAGCAGTTTTTCATAGTGCTTTCAATTCAAATCTGATACATTGCACCCCAGTCTGTCCTCCGTAGCTGACTCGCATTGGTGCTGCCTGCCCCGTGCTGCTTTTCCATCTCATCAAACCCTCCTCTAAGCTCCTCAGAGCAGAGCACTGAACATTGAATGTGGTCACTGTTTTCAGAGGCTCTGGTGCAGTCTGTCTGAATTGAAGGGAGATGTAACTCACTTCCACCAAGAATAACCAATATCCAAGTGCTGACATTACAAATCCTTCATGTCTAGAGATTTTTTTAAAGATCTTTTTCCTTGTCTTGAAAAAGAAAAGTTATAGAACTGCTGTAGAGCTCACACAAACAAACTGTGTAATGGCAAAAATTGCTTTGAAGTGTTTATTTCTACCAGACTAGTTCTTCTGCAATAGACCAGAAAACCACAGAGCAGAAAGCAAATTCATACATTACCACATCACTAACATTCCATCGTTTACTCACCAGTGGGAATGCTGCCACTTCTCGGGAATAAGGGCGATCCCACTTTGAAGAAGTGACACAGTTTAGAGTATGTGGTGACATCTGCAAGCAAAAAAGCGTGTGTGACATGAAATTACTGGATTCAATTGAAACTGTGAGAATCTCCCTTAAGACTCACATTATTACATAAAAATACTGTCTGGTATCTCCTTGAGACACAATATATCTCAGGAAGAAAAAAAAAAAAAAAAAAGAGTGGATCTAAAACAGGAAGCCAGCCAATATCTAGGTTCATTCCATTTTG